CCTGTAATCCCAGCACTTTGGGAGGCCGAGATGGGCGGATCACGAGGTCAGGAGATCGAGACCATCCTGGCTAACAGGGTGAAACCCCGTCTCTACTAAAAATACAAAAATTAGCTGGGCACGGTGGCGGGCGCCTGTAGTCCCAGCCACACGGGAGGCTGAGGCAGGAGAATGGCGTGAACCCAGGAGGCGGAGCTTGCAGTGGTGGAGATTGCGCCACCGCACTCCAGCCTGGGTGCAGAGCGAGACTCCGTCTCAAAAAGAAAAACAAAAAACAAAAACAAAAAATTAATAAAATAAGCACCTATTTTATTCAGAATGTATCTTTGCTGTTGATGGGTTGAACTGTTTATCCCCAAATTCTGACTATTCATTTGCTTCTCAATAAAGAGAAGGATATAGCCACCTGGGTTTGCTGTGACCCTCCAAGTACTTGAGGGTAAATTCCTTCACATATACACTACCAGTCTTTTTTGAACAGCCAGCGCTCTAAGGATTTGAATGAGGCACACTTGATATCTAAACTGTTTCCCGTGCTGCTTTAGGTGCTCATGGAAACAACCTCATTGCTGTTCTAGCCAAATACATCTACCACAAACATGACCCTGCTTTGCCACGTCTTGCCATTCAGCTGCTGAAACGTCTGGCCACGGTAGGATCATATTTCATGCACACACACTGTTTATGTGAGAGTGTTTTGTTCCCCTGATTACAAAAGACATGCTCAGGCCACGTGCAGTGGCTTACACCTATATGTAATTCCAGCACTTTGGGAGGCCAAGGTGGGAGAATCACTTGAGTCCAGGAGTTCAAGACCAGCCTGGGCCACATAGTGAGACCCCCATCTCTAATATAGAAAAAAGGAGAAAAAGTCTGCGTGCGGTGGCTCACACCTGTAATTCCAGTACTTTGGGAGGCTGAGGTGGGTAGATCACAAGGTCAGGAGTTCAAGACCAACCTGGCCAAGATGGTGAAACCCCATCTCTCCTGAAAATACAAAAATTAGCCGGGCGTGGTGGCAGACACCTGTGATCCCAGCTACTTGGGAGCCTGAGGCAGAGAGTTGCTTGAACCTGGGAGGCAGAGGTTGCGGTAAGCCGAGATCACGTCGCTGCACTCCAGCCTGGGCGACAGAGCGAGACTCTGTCTCAAGATAAAAGAAAAAAGACATGCTTATTGTAAAATATTTATTTAAATGTTACAAATAGATGTAACAGAAAGTCAAGATGCCCTATGATCTCCTTATTCCAAGAATCCCTGTGGGCAGGGGGATATGCCATGCTCCAGATTTCCTTTTTTTTTTTTGAAACAGGGTCTGGCTATGTCTCCCAGGCTGTGCTCCAGATTTCTTATCTGTGTTCTTGTATTTTAAAAAGTATTGGCTGGGTGCCGTGGCTCACACCTGTAATCCCAGCACTTTGGGAGGCTGAAGCAGGTGGATCACGAGGTCAGGAGTTCAAGACCAACCTGGCCAAGATGGTGGAAACCCCCCCCATCTCTACTAAAAATACCAGAATTAGCTGGGTGCTGTGGCAGGTGCCTGTAATCCCAGCTACTCAGGAGGCTGAGGCAGGAGAATTGCTTGAACCCGGGCGGCAGAGGTTGCAATGAGCCAAGATCACACCACTCACACCGTTTCTAAAAATAAAAAAGGTATTTGGGGCTGGGCGTGGTGGCTCGTCTCAAAAAAAAAAAACAAAAAAAAATTTTGTCAGGCGTGGCTGCGTGCGCCTGTAGTCCCAGGTACTCAGGAGGCTGAGGCAGGAGAATTGCTTGAACCTGGGAGGTGGAGGTTGCAGTGAGCCGAGATTGCACCACTGCACTCCAGCCTGGGCGACAGAGTAAAACGAAAAAATTATTTGAGTGTATACTATTGTTCTTTATAAAAGCAGAATTCCTGGTACTGTTTTTCTTTTGAGACAGTCCCATTCCATCACCCAGGCTGGAGTGCAGTGGCATGATCTCACCGCAACCTCCACCTCCCAGGTTCATGTGATTCTCCTGTCTAAGCCTCCCAGGTTGCTGGGATTATAGGCTCCCACTACAACACACAGCTGATGTTTTGTATTTTTAGTAGGGACGGGTCTTTGCCATGTTGGCCAGGCTAGTCTCGAACTCCTGACCTCTAGTGATCTGCCTGCCTCAGCCTCCCTTCATGCTGGGATTACAGGCATGAGCCACTGTGCCTGGCCCCTGGTAGTGTTTTATGACTTCCTTCACTTGCTACCATATCAAACAGTCTTGGTGTTCTTGATGCCATATGGGCACATTTGGACTTCCTTCATTCTTTTTTGTCTTTTTTCCTTTTTTAATTTGGACTTCCTTCATTCTTTCTAATGTTTGCATATCACATCCTAGAATGGATGCATCCTGATTTATTTGGGCTACTTTCTGTTTTCCACTATTACAAGCAGTGCTGCAGTGAACATTATTATCCCTACCACCCTGTAAACATTTGTTTACAGTTCCAAAGATTTAGGTAGGTATAAATGAACATGATAATTTTTATTAGATATTTCCAAATTACCTTCCAAAAAACATTGTAACAGTTTATACTTCTAACACCAAGTCTTCTATCCTGGTCGCAAGGGCTTCATCATTGTTTAGTCTTTGCCAATCTAATAGGCAAAAAAAGTTTCACTTTTCAGTTTGTATTTATTTAACCATGAGGGAGGTTGAGCATTTCTTTATACTGATTACTGTCTCTACTGTGAATTTGGGGGCATCTCGTGCTTGTTTGTGGTGATGTCCCTTTTGGCCCAGAGCTGTAGTCTGGATGCTTCCCTTTATGCCAGTTTTCTGGGAGCTCTTCAGTGCCCTTCTGCAGGAGCCCATTGAGGTTTTTGTGGAAGCAGAGCTCTAAGCCTATGTATTCTGGTCTCCACCAGGTGGCCCCAATGTCAGTGTATGCTTGTCTGGGCAATGATGCGGCTGCCATTCGTGATGCCTTCCTGACCCGATTGCAGAGCAAAATTGAGGACATGCGCATCAAAGTTATGATTCTAGAGTTCCTCACAGTTGCAGTAGAGACCCAACCAGGCCTCATCGAACTGTTTCTGAACCTGGAGGTTAAGGATGGCAGTGATGGCTCAAAGGTAAGCCTGTAAGCTGGGATGACGCTGGGAGTTGGCTCCCTGGGAGGCAGATGCTGGGCTCTGCAAGTGCAGCTGCTGGCAGTGGCTGTGGAACTGAACTCTTACCTGTCCCTTCTTGCAGGAATTCAGTCTTGGGATGTGGAGCTGTCTCCATGCAGTGCTGGAGCTGATTGATTCCCAACAGCAAGATCGATACTGGTGCCCACCCCTGCTGCATCGTGCCGCCATTGCCTTTTTGCATGCTCTGTGGCAGGACCGGAGGGACAGTGCCATGCTGGTCCTCCGGACCAAGTAAGTCTGCCTCTGGGAGTAGTTTCATTGTTCTGGTCTATAAAATGGGAGTAACAATAGCTCTTATCCCAGAGGTTTGTTGCGACGGTTCACTGGGAATAAGTGCTTAGTGCCTGGTTCAATACCTGGGAGTTTTATACTAATTCTCTTTCTAATGCTGCTGCCAGCATTAAGGATCTTTAAATATTAAGCACCTTGAAGGTTCAACTGCTTTTGTGTTCCTGCCTTTTGCTAACTAGCTACATCAAAACTCATTATTCTTGAGAAACAGTAGATTCAGGAGAGAGGGGCTTGCTGAAGTCACTGGATGGAATGAAACATTCTGTTCTATTGGACCTGCTGGCACAAAGGGAAGGAGTGTTAAAAGGCTAATTAGGAGTCTGCCGTCTTATTTTCCTCCCTCCTCTTCTGTGGAGGCTTTTGGGAATCTACAATGGAAGGAATCTTGAAGAGTTTTTGTTGATCAACTCCATAATGCACAAGTGTGATTCATAAGAGGAAAATGTAATTTTATCTATGGAAACCTTTCATTTATACAGGAACAACTGACTTATCAGACACATATTAGGATTGAGACTGGTAAAATATGAAGTGACCACCAAAGGGAGCTTGAGAGAGGAGAAAAGGACTGTGAGAGGGAAAAAGTATGACTTTCAAACATTTATTTCCTTTTTAGACCCAAGTTTTGGGAAAATTTAACCAGTCCACTGTTTGGAACCCTTTCTCCTCCCTCTGAAACATCAGAGGTAAGCTGTGGCAGAGGGCAAGATGGTGGCTACAAGTCCCTGGGAGGAAAGGCTGTGGGCTGTGAGATGGGGCCGTAGACAATGATACCTCCCCTAATTAAACAACAGAATGTTCTCTTCACTAGAAACGTCTTTCTCAGGGAAGTGCCTGCTTTCTGTCCCTTTGATGTCTTGCTTTGGGAAGGAAAGTGGTTTGCGTTGGTGGCTCTGTGGTCTTCTCTGTTCAGTTGGAGACATTGTGGACCTGACGCTTCTGCTCTTGCAAGTCAGGCCATTCACATTCAACAGGGGTTGTACTAACTTGTTCTGCAAGTGTTGGGCCTCTGCTCTGTTCACCGTTTGATATACTGGGGGAGATTAGTGATCAGAGATGTGATCAGAGATGTGATCATTGCCTGTTCTGCTCTCTCTCTCCACAGCCCAGCATCCTGGAAACCTGTGCCCTCATCATGAAGATAATTTGCTTGGAGATATACTATGTAGTTAAGTGAGTACTTTCCCCTCTTGAGATTTTAACTGAAGGTTGGGGGAGTGGGAGTTGGTGGCCTACCACTGGGTGCATGGCTGGAAAGAGCCAAGGCAGAGGAGAGAACTGGTTTGGAACCATTCATGGAGGCTAGTGTGCTGTGTCCCTGGCCAATCCACCGATGGCGTTTATGATTGTCAGAAAGAGTTATTGTGAAACAAACTCCATGCAACTCAGATTTTATGGAGGAGGAATCCTGGAAAGGCCTCAGCCTAACCCACACATTGGAGGTGTCCTGGAGCTGGTCTGCCTTTAAGCCCACGCGAGGTTGTTTTCTCTGCCTCAACAAGGGTCTGTACCCATTATATTCCCATCTACTTTCAAAACCTAACTGGAGGTTTTTTTCTTGACACTGTAGGGGTTCATTAGACCAGTCATTAAAAGATACACTCAAGAAATTTTCCATCGAGAAACGCTTTGCCTACTGGTCAGGGTATGTCAAGTCATTAGCAGTTCACGTGGCCGAAACAGAAGGCAGCAGCTGCACCTCCTTGTTAGAGTACCAGATGCTGGTGTCCGCCTGGAGGATGCTTCTCATCATTGCCACCACTCATGTAAGACGCTTTTGGGGAGAGTTTTCACTTTGATACCTTACCAATGATGTGTTGAGATACCTAGCAGATATAGCTCCTTGTGAGGAAGAATTAATCAGGGTTTATCCCTGAAAGCTAAACTGTAATAGGTTCTATGCTGATAAATTGGGGCTGTGGGGTATTTGAGGGTGTTGGGTCCAAGAGACCATTAAGAGGAGTGCAGAGAAGTGATTTGAAATCCTTTCAGAGTTCCTAAAGCCTCCTGTACCTCCCTTGGGCCTTGGCTGGGTCTTAACTGCTCCCTGGCTGCAAATGCCTCTTATACAAAGGCATAACTGCCTTCTTGTGCTGTGTACCTTGTAGACGTTAGGTCAATAAGTACTTGTTGACTAGTCAGCAGGAAGCTGTGACAGCTGCAGCAGCACCTTCTCTAAAAAGCAGTTTGTCATTGGTTCTAGAAACTGCATTTCCTGGTCTTAGAAAAAGAACAAAGACCATTGTCTCTGTACTCTGTCTACTGGGAGTTGGTTTTGAGAGAGAGAGAACATCTGGAAGAAATGCATTGTTCTTGGCTTTTTTGTGGTTTGACACCATCATGCTGTATCATAAGGACTTGGTATTGAAGTGTTCTTCCTTGGGGTATCCAGATTAACTTTTTTTTTCTTTTCTTCTTCTTGAGACGGAGTCTTGCTCGTCTCCCAGGCTGGAGTGCAGTGGTGCGATCTCAGCTCACTGCAACCTCTGCCTCCCAGCTTCAAGCCATTCTCCTGTCTCAGCCTCCCAAGTAGCTGGGATTATAGGTCACCACACCCGGCTAATTTTTATATTTTTCGTAGAGACGGGGTTTCACCTTGTTGGTCAGGCTGGTCTCGAACTCCTGACCTCAGGTGATCCACCAACCTCGGCCTCCCAAAGTGCTGGGATTACAGGTGTGAGCCACCACGCCCGACCCAGATTAATGTTTTGACTTCATGAACAACTTCAGCTTGATAGATGCCTCCTTGTTCCAAGCACCTCCTACATCTGTGAGATTTGTTTCCTAGTACCAGACTGCCCACATACCTGGAGCTTTGAGCCTAGAAGGGGCAGGTTGGTGGCTACTCTTGCTGTGGCATAGTGGTTTTGGACCCCTAAGACTCCATAACACACTTAAAGGCTCACCTGTCTTTGAGAATGGTTAATTCCCCAGAGTATAAGCTTTATGTCGCCTGCCTTTTAGGCCCTAGTTAGGCAGCAGTTCTTGAATTGTAGCTCTCAAAAAACCCACCATCCTCTTTCCCCCAAGGAAACCTGTCTGACTCTCTGTCTCTGACCTGTCTACCTATGCAAAAGAAAAGAAAAAAAAAAGAGAAAGAAAGCTAAGTCCAAGATGTTGTTCACCCGTTCATTCTCTTAATAGCATTAGTGGAATGCTTCCAGGCATTGGGATACAGCAGTGAATAAGGCAGATAAGATCTTTGATCGCCATTGAGAGTGCCCTATGATGGAGGAGGTAAATTATAAACAAATTCACCACTTAAAAATATGGTTTCAGATAGTGATAATTTGCTGTGAAGGAGATAATTAAGGTGCTGTGGTAATGAACACATGAGATAGAAGTAGTCAGGGTGACCTTCTCTGAGTGGTGATGTCCCAGCTGAGAGCTGAGTGTGTGAAGAAGCCTTCCAGGTGGAGCCCATGGAGGAGAGAAGTCTAGGCAGATGGACTTGCAAGTGCACAGTTCCAGCAGTGGAAAAGAGCTTGATATGTTCACGAAAGAGGCAAGCAGGGCTGGACTAGAGTGAGCACAGATGGGACTGATACTACAGTCAGTTGGACCAGATCCTGTGGGGTCTTTGGACCATGTTGAAGAGTCTGGTTCGCGTTTCCCGGGCACTGGGAAGTCTTTAAAGGATTCTAAGCAGAGGGAGGACAGAGTCTCAAAAGAGGAGGTGAACCTGGGCTTGATTCTGACCGTATCTAAGCGTCGACAGAAGAATAGCAGGGCCTTCAAGCCCTATTTTACTTTATCTTTTAGGGGACAGGTTCTCACTCTGTTGTCCAGGTTGGAGTGCAGTGGTGCAATGGTGGCTCACCTGCAGCCTCAACCTCCAGGTCTCATGTGATTGCCCCACGTCAGCCTCCTGAGTAGCTAGGACTACAGGCATGCATCACCATACCCAGCTAATTACAAATTTTTTGTTGTTGTTGAGATAGGGTCTCATCATGTTGCCCAGACTATCAGCCCTATTTTATTTTATTTATTTATTTATTTAAGACGGAGTCTTGCTCTGTTGCCCAGGCTAGAGTGCAGTGGCACGATCTCAGCTCACTGCAACCTCTGCCTCCTGGGTTCAAGCGATTCTTCTGCCTCAGCCTCCCACGTAGCTGAGACTACAGGTGCACCCCACCATGCCCAGCTAATTTTTGTATTTTTAGTAGAGACAGGGTTCCACCATGTTGGCCAGAATGGTCTTGATCTCCTGACCTCGTGATCCGCCCGCCTCCCAAAGTGTTAGGATTACAGGCATGAGCCACCATGCCCAGCCTATATAAGCCCTATTTTAAATCAGGGAGACTGATTTACCAATGACTAATTGCCTAGCAGAGGACCCCACTTTTCTTGGCCTCTAAAATCTGGGAAACTTTCCTAGCGAAACCTTTTTCTGTTCTTTTGCAGGCAGATATAATGCACCTGACTGACTCTGTGGTGCGTCACCAGCTCTTTCTTGACGTGCTTGATGGAACCAAAGCATTAGTAAGTGTGTCTGGGAGATTTCACATTTCTCCCAGGGAGGTTGTCTTTGAAGTCAAATAGCAGAGCTCATGAGTCTGCCAGCCAGCCGCACAATTGGTCAGGTCAGAGGGCTCACGTTGACCTGGGAGGCCCGAGGCTGTAGTGGGTCAGCAGAGCTCTGCTGCTGCTATGCCAGCCCTGGCCTCTCCCCCTCCACCCACCCCTGTGAGCTCACTGCTGGGGAAGAAAGGCAGTGAGGCCAGAGGTGCCCTGTGGATGGCATGCGAGTCTTGCCACTGTGTCTTGCCACTGACTTCTGACTAGTGTGGTGTCTCCTTTCAGCTCCTAGTTCCAGCCTCAGTGAACTGCCTTCGCCTCGGCTCCATGCAGTGCACTCTGCTGCTTATCCTCCTCCGGCAGTGGAAGAGGTGAGCCTGTGCCAGGAGAGGCAGAGGCCCAAGGCCAGAGCCTTCTTGTCAGTGCCTGCTTGCCTTCCTGAAGGAGAGAACTAGTGGGTGGAAGCTAGGCTGGTTTTCCATCTTGAGGAATGGGAGTGACATAGCAGAGAGGAGGTGAGGCACACTGGTGGGTATCCTGAGACGGAGCAGGGGCAGTGTATGGCCTTTTATGAGGCATTTTGTCTCACTCTCTACCCTGTATTCTTTTTTTTTGAGATGGAGTCTCACTCTGTCGCCCAGGCTGGAATGCAGTGGCGCGATCTCAGCTCACTGCAACCTCCACCTCCCAGGTTCAATTGATTCTTGTGCCTCAGCCTCCCTAGTAGCTGGGATTACAGGTGCGCGCTACCATGCCCGACTGATTTTTGTATATTTAGTAGAGATGGGGTTTCACCATGTTGGCCAGGCTGGTCTCGAACTCCCGATCTCGGTTGATCTGCCCGCCTTGGCCTCCCAAAGTGCTAGGATTACAGGCGTGAGCCACTGCCCCTGGCCCACCCAGTATTCTTTCTAGAGAGTTAGGTTCCGTGGATGAAATCCTTGGACCCTTGACGGAGATCCTGGAAGGAGTGCTGCAGGCCGACCAGCAACTCATGGAGAAGACCAAGGCCAAGGTGTTCTCAGCATTCATCACAGTGTTGCAAATGAAGGAGATGAGAGGTGAGGGGCAGAGGCAGGGGGAGCAGCAGCTGCAGTCTGCCCACCCCTGCTGACAGCTGGGTGGGGCTTCCTTCACCTTAGGGCTACACGTTTCTTCTGGGCCCTTTTGAGTTTCCAGTCTTGGAATTCTTACCTCAAGAAAGCTACGTTTTTCCCTCATGTGTCTCTCCCTCCTCTCCCACTGGACAGATGCTGTCCCTCTTAGCACCCTACTACATCCCTGGCCCCCTGCCTAGGAAGGAAACCTTGGTGTACAGTGAGAGTTGGCCTGGTGAGCATGACAGCATCCCTCTCTATCTATTCTGCAGTAAGTGACATCCCCCAGTACTCCCAGCTGGTGTTGAACGTCTGTGAGACCCTCCAAGAGGAAGTGATTGCACTCTTCGACCAGACCCGCCACAGTCTGGCATTAGGCGGTGCCACCGAGGACAAGGACAGCATGGAGACTGACGACTGTTCTCGGTCCCGGCACAGGGACCAGCGTGATGGGGTGAGAGTGCCCTAGAAGGCCATCCGTCCTTTCCACTGCCCGTCAGCTCTGTGCCTGACTCTGGGGATAACTAGTGAGCAAGACAAGACAGTCGCTGCACTTCCGGAGTTCACGGCCTAGTGGGAAAGGTTAATAGATCAGACACTGCAGAAAAGCAGAGGAAGCCCATTGTACCGCAGGAGAGAAGTGCAGGGAGTACTTAGTCTTGCTTCTAACCTGATCTGGGACTTCGGTGCCTTTTCAGCAATGACTTAGGGATTGTAGCGGCAGGCAAATGCAGGGGCAGGGAAGATTTGGGCAGTGAGAAGAGTACCTGGTCAGCTGTGGTTAGAATTGTCCAGTGACCTGAAGAAAGGCTAGCATGAGCATAGGAAAGTGAGGACCGAAGAGCTGGGGCTGGATGATGGCAGTTTCATCAGGGTCTTTGATTTGGATCCAAAGTGAAGTAGGAAATGATGTAAGATTTTTAAACAGGGGGAAAAATTGATCTGATTTTAACTCTAGAAAGATCACTCTGGACTTAAAACTCCAGGCCTCAAGCCATCCTCCCATTTCAGCCTCCCAAAGTGTTGGGATTACAGGCGTGCTCAAGAAAGATCACTCTGGATGCAGTATTGAATAGTATTTTTCAAATTGTGGGATCATGACCTATTAGAGACAGTCTTGAAATTAGCACATTTTGTTAGAACCAGCATTTTTTTTTTTGAGACACAGTCTTGCTCTGTCACCCAGGCTGGAGTGCAATGGTGCGATCTGGGCTCACTGCAAGCTCCACCTCCCAGGTTTACACCATTCTCTTGCCTCAGGAGAATGCCTCCTGAGTAGCTGGGACCACAGGCACCCGCCACCATGCCCGGCTAATTTTTTGTATTTTTAGTAGAGATGGGGTTCATCTACAGGATGGTCTGGATCTCCTGACCTTGTGATCCACCTGCCTCGGTCTCCCAAACTGCTGGGAATATAGGCGTGAGCCACCACGCCCGGCCTTTATTTTTTCTTAAAGTAGAATAAAATGTTTAAGAAAATATCACTGTGCTTTGTGTGATGTTAATTAGGGTAGGTATTATTAGTGAAAAACTGTAAACGTGTACATGAGGGTACAGTCTAAAAAGTCTGTATGACTGTGGGTCATGGCCAAAAAGAAATTTGAAGGGCCACTGGTATAAGGATAGAGAGGATGGAACAGGACCATTTAGGAGGTGGGTGCAGTAGCAAGGCAAGAGGTGGCATTGGGCAGGGCCATAGAGGTCCCTCACACTCCATGTGGCAGAGTTGGTTGGAGTGTCCAACGTGAGACAAGAAGTGGCACTGACAAGGGTGGTGGCAGTGTGGGAGGTGGGAGGGAAGAGGTGGGGGTAGCTCCAGTCAGTTTAGGGTTGGTCATTACAGTGGCTGGAGTTGCTGCTGTTCATTGAGAGGTGGACACAGGAGAGGGGCAGGGTGGGAGAGAGTGTGCATTCTGTGTTACTGAAGCTCATTTGGTGATGTGCGTAACCAAACAGGTCTTGGGCAACCAGGGCCACAGCTGCCTGTCATCATCCTCTTCCTCCTCCTCTTCTTCTTCCCCCTTTTACTCATCTTTGCCCCTGGGCCCCAACAGGTGTGTGTCCTGGGCCTGCACCTGGCCAAGGAGCTGTGTGAGGTAGATGAGGATGGTGACTCCTGGCTGCAGGTGACCCGCAGGCTCCCCATCCTACCTACCCTCCTCACCACCCTAGAGGTGAGCCTTCGCATGAAGCAGAACCTACATTTCACTGAGGCCACACTGCATCTGCTTCTTACCCTGGCTCGCACTCAGCAGGTAGGAGGCCAGCCCGAAGGCAGGAGGGAGCATCCTTGCTTGCCTGGGTGGGTTCTGACAATCCCAGAAGCTATGATCTAGCCTGAGATCCCAACCTTCCCTGGGCAGGGCAGGGGCAGGCTCCATCTCATTCCTTGTCTTTCCCTCCTCCCAGGGAGCCACAGCAGTGGCTGGAGCTGGCATCACCCAGAGCATTTGTTTGCCCCTTCTGAGTGTGTACCAGCTGAGCACCAATGGCACAGCACAGGTAAGTGTCAGGAGCTTGCCAGGAGGCCCAGCCTGGGCATCCTACAGTTTCAGTTGAAAAGTGTCCTTCTCTACCTTTCCCTGGAAGTTGCTTTTCTCTTAATGGCCTAATACACTGATGGTGAAGAGTCTTCCCTGCCCCCAGGCGGATCTCTAGCAAGAGAAACTCACCACTAAAGGCACTGCCTGGCCTTTGTGCACTGCCTCTGGGAGACGGGATGGGTTCTTCCCGTTGCAGGTGTGAGGAAGACTAAACCAGATAACATATCCCTGGGACCAGGCCTCTAGCCAAGGCAGCTGTCCTCTCCTGTCATTCCCAAAGACAAGTGTGTCATTGTGACTTCTCCACCCCTGCACCACCAGACCAGGACTGGGAGAAGGGAAGTGGGTGGTTTGGGGGCTTAATGGGGCCTCAGCACCCTGCTCCCTGTGTCCCTTGGTTATTTCTAGTTTAACAGATATCTCCTAATTTCAAAAAAGTAGTCTTCACCTGAACCTCTCACTCTCATGAGAGTGACATGTCCAGGTTCCCATAGCTCGTCAGTGGCACACCTGAGTCTGGAACCCTGGATCTTGTATCTCAGCCTGGTGCTCTTTCCTTGCATCTACTGGCCTTGGCCCCTTTCTGGCCCTGGTTGCCAGGCAGTGACTGTGTCTATTGTGGGAAGTCTTTTCCTTTCAGCGCAGCTGGGCTGCCTTAGTTGCTGTACTGCAAGGAGGCCCTGCCCGTCAGCAGGGTTCCTGAGCTTGTCTGCTGTTTGTGTCTTAGACACCTAGCGCCTCTCGGAAGTCCCTGGATGCCCCCTCTTGGCCAGGAGTCTACCGCCTGTCCATGTCCTTGATGGAGCGGCTGCTGAAAACTCTGCGCTACAACTTCCTGACTGAGGCCCTGGACTTCGTAGGTGTCCACCAGGAGCGGACCTTACAGGTGAGGGGCTGCCTGCATCGCAGGGGTGGGGGTTTCGGGGTAAAAAGGGTTCTGTGCCATTCATGGGGCCGGTGGGTGTGGAGCCTGGGCCTCAGTAGTGGAGGGCTGTCGATGCCTTCATTTCTGCGATGCTCTAAATACTCTGCTGGCTCACTGGCCAGCCAGTCTGCTGAGGGACGGGAACGGTCTCGGGTCAGAATCCTAGTTGTACCACTGAGCCATTTCTTGAGTTCCACCTCAGCATTTGGGGGCCTGGGACGTTTCCTCTCCACAGGAGGGCAGGTGTGGGTATGTCAGGTCCCTCAGCCATCCCCATCCTTCCCTGATGTCTCCTTTCCTCCCAGTGCCTCAACGCGGTGAGGACAGTGCAGAGTCTGGCCTGCCTGGAGGAGGCGGACCACACCGTGGGTTTTATTCTGCAGCTCTCCAACTTCATGAAGGAGTGGCACTTCCACTTGCCTCAGCTCATGCGTGATATCCAGGTGGGGGCCCCGGATGGTGTCCTGGAGTCTGGAGTAATGCTTGGAGACAGGGAGGCTGTGAGCTCTCACTGAGGCACCTCTAGTGAATTGCAGGATGTTCCTGAACGGGGGCTTTTCCCTTGGGGAACACAGGGTTTGGTGTCATGTGCTTACTCTGGCTAAATGTTTCCTTTCATAGTCAAGGGTAGCCATGTAGATTAAGAACTTGTACTTTATCAGTTAGATATTGGTTCAGATCCTTTAAGAATACACCTGGGACCAGGCGTGGTGGCTCATGCCTGTAATCCTAGCACTTTGGGAGGCAGTCAGGAGTTTGAGACCAGCCTGGCCAACATGGTGAAACCCCATCTCTATTAAAAATAGAAAAATTAGCTGGGCGTGGTGGTGCGTGACTGTAATCCCAGCTACTTAGGAGGCTGAGGTGGGAGAATCGCTTGAACCTGGGAGGCGGTGGTTGCAGTGAGTCAAGATTGAACCGTTACACTCCAGCCTGGGCGACAGAGCGAGACTCCCATCTTGGGGGGGAAAAAAAAAAAAAAAAAGGCTGGGCGCAGTGGCTCACGCTGGTAATCCCAGCACTTCGGGAGTCCAAAGCGGGCGTATCACAAGGTCAGGAGCTCAAGACCAGCCTGGCCGATAGGGTGAAACCCCATCTCTACTAAAAATACAAAAATTAGCTGGGTGTAGTGGCGCACGCCTGTAGTCCCAGCTACTCGGGAGGCTGAGGCAGGAGAATGGCGTGCATCTGGGAGGCGGAGGTTGCAGTGAGCCGAGGTCACACCACTGCACTCCAGCCTGGCGACAGAGCAAGACTCTATCTCAGGGGAAAAAAAAACACTGAACAAAACCAAAAACACACACACACCTGGAGCTGGGAACCAGCTGGAGGTGAAGAAAGAACACAGGCTCCAGAGCCAGGCAGGCTTCTCTCATCTGCTGGTTGTATGACCTTGGCCAAGTCACTTCAGTTATTTGTAACCTTTTATTCTTTTCTCATAAAATGGAATCAGCCATAATCCTCATCTTCATTTTATTTATTTATTTATTTATTTATTTAGAGACAGAGTTTTGTTCTGTCGCCCAGGCTGGAGTGCAGTGGCGTGATCTCAGCTCATTGCAAGCTCCGCCTCCCGGGTTCACGCCATTCTCCTGCCTCCGCGTCCCAAGTAGCTGGGACTACAGGTGCCCGCCACCGTGCCCGGCTATTTTTTTGTATTTTTTAGTAGAGACAGGGTTTCACCGTGTTAGCCAGGCTGGTCTCAATCTCCTGACCTTGTGATCCGCCTGCCTCGGTCTCCCAAAGTGCTGGGATTACAGGCTTGAGCCACCATGCCCGGCCTCATCTTCTATTATTTTAGGACCTTATAATATATGAGGCACCTAGCTGGGTCCCAGTGAAACAGTCCAGTTCTGAGCCCTACTGGCCCCGAGTTTGTAGCCCTGAGTACTTAGTGGCTATAAGGGCTTTAAAGCTGGAAAGTGGCCAGGGGAGCATGAGGGAGGGAGGGAGAGAAGAGCAGCAGCGAGTGAGAAGAGCGCGTGGGTGTTACGTGGAGGGCTGTTGGGTTGGGCTAGTTGGGTGACTGGGCTGCTGACAAGAGAATCCCTCCTCTCTCCTATGTCTCTCCCAGGTCAACCTGGGTTACCTGTGCCAGGCATGCACCTCCCTCCTGCACAGTCGAAAGATGCTGCAGCATTACTTACAGGTAAGCGTCCTATGCCATGAGGGGCTGGAATACCTCACTGTGGCTTCCCGAGCTCCACCTTCATTTCTTGACTCTCCCTAGAACAAAAATGGGGATGGCCTCCCCTCGGCCGTTGCCCAGCGAGTCCAGAGGCCACCATCTGCTGCTTCTGCTGCCCCCTCCTCCTCCAAGCAGCCTGCTGCTGACACAGAGGCATCAGAGCAGCGGGCCTTGCACACAGTCCAGTATGGCCTTCTCAAGATCCTCAGCAGGACGCTGGCAGCCCTGCGCCACTTCACCCCAGATGTCTGCCAGATCCTGCTGGATCAGGTACCGGCCATCATCTGTTCGGCACCACCTCCCCTAAAGGCTCTGCTCTGTTGTGCACTGAGAGCTACCTGGGGCCTTAACTGGGTCCTGGATGGCTCTTGACTTTTCTTGTAGTCCCTGGACCTTGCTGAATACAACTTCCTGTTTGCCCTGAGCTTTACCACTCCCACCTTTGACTCCGAAGTCGCCCCCTCCTTTGGGACCCTTCTGGCCACAGTGAATGTGGCCCTCAACATGCTTGGAGAGGTAAGTGGGTTCTGTCACTGTCCTCTCCCCCGGCTCCTCCCCCAGCCCGCCACTTCCAGCCAACCTTGGGCATGGTACCTAGCCTCCCGAGACTGCTCCGCTCCGTAAACTAAACATGACAGCACCTCTGAGAATTACTGTGAGGATTAAATGAGGTAACTGATGAAATTTGTTTAGTGCAGGGCATGCAAGTAGGAAGCTCTCAGTAAGTGGGAGCTGTTCCTGTTGTCTTAGTTTTTTACCCTTGCTTCTCTTCAGCTGGACAAGAAAAAGGAGCCCCTCACCCAGGCAGTGGGGCTCAGCACACAGGCAGAAGGGACCAGGACGTTAAAGTAAGCGCTCTTTCTGAGATTTGATAAGGGGCTGGGGAAGTCATGGGCCCACTGTTCTCAGGTTTGGCCAGCCTGGGCCTCTGTAGCAGTGCCAAAAACCTACCTCTCCTCCCAGGTCCCTCCTGATGTTTACCATGGAAAACTGCTTCTACCTGCTCATCTCTCAGGCGATGCGGTACCTTAGGGACCCGGCTGTGCATCCCCGGGACAAACAGCGGATGAAGCAGGAGCTCAGCTCTGAGTTGGTATGGATGGATAGGGAGGGCTGGGCCAATAGGGCCAGAGCCCTGTGGGGTCCCGTCTGGTAACCCCCAAGGGTCAGAAGAGTGGCCAGATGTGCTGAGCCTCACCAAACCACTTTTTTTCTTGTAGAGCACGCTGCTCTCCAGCCTCTCGCGCTACTTCCGCCGGGGAGCCCCCAGCTCCCCTGCCACTGGTGTCCTCCCCTCGCCGCAGGGCAAGTCCACCTCTCTCTCCAAAGCCAGCCCTGAGAGTCAAGAGCCTCTGATCCAGCTAGTGCAGGCATTTGTCCGGCATGTGCAAAGATAGGGCAGTGCTGTGCTGCTGTGCTGCCTACCTACCCCTCTCCACCAGCCTACACCGCACCCTGGCTGCCAGGGCCTATACAACGGAGGGCACCTTCTGTCACCCCCTCCCCGAGTAGCCACTTCAACCACCCACCCACTGATGTTATTTTTATACTAGATGAAGAGGTCAACAGCAGGCATGGGGAGTGGAGTCTTCTGTGCTTAGGCCCTCACGCTGCCGACGCCCCCAGAGGAGCATTCCTTCCCTTCCAGCATTCCCCACAGCACGGCCAGCCAGGGGAGGCGGGAGCCCAGGAGAGGGCTCTATGCACGGGTTTCAGAATCTGTTTTCCATGCTCTGTCCCTGCAGTTTTGGTAATTCTGTGGTCTATTTATACAAATATTAAAATCCTGTTTATAGACAGCTGTGTGATATTTAACTTCAAAGCCCAGGGATGATGACCTGGCTCTCAGAACCTAGAAAACTCCCCTGGCCAGGCGCCTGGGAGTGGGGCTGCAGCCTCGGGGGAAGGCAGGTATTGATAGATGGCCAGTTCACCAGCATCTCCTCATTCCTGTCCATAGGCTGAGGGTTAGGCTGAGTGGGTGCTGTTCCCTTCCTTGGCCTGCCCTGGTTGTGTCCTTGGCCCTGGTTTCGTTGGCCCAGTGGGCTGAGCTCATCCCTGGGTGAGCCTTTCTTGAAGCTCTGTGCCTTCCTATTTATAGCCCGGTTCCCCTGTCAACCCCCCATCTCCTCTTCAGAAGCCCCAACAGTGGGGCCTACTAGCTGTTGGCCTTCTCAGGACTGAAGTCAGAATGCCAGGTCCTGCTAGGGGCCATCTAAAACACAGCCACCACTTAGGGTTTCTAGAATCAGGCTGCCTCGGCTTCAGTCTCTGCTCAGCCACTTGCCAGTTGTGGTCCCTTGAGGAGGTGACTGTCTTGCTGATCTCATCTGTGAAATGTGGACACTGAGGATGGCATGAGAACCCGTGGCACAGGGGCACGTGCTGGGCAAAATGCCCAACATGCAGACAGCGCGGACCACTACCCACTTGAGTTTGAACTGTCAGGCACATTCTACAGTCCACAATCCAAATTTAGGAAACTTTCTCTTAGGAATAAAACATTCCTTGTGCAGCTTCATGTCCAGGAACAGCACTGCCCTCTGAGAGGCACAGGCCCCGCGGAAGGTAGGGAGGGCTGCACTTCCCAACTTAGAGAGCTGGTGGCCAGGGCAGCCGCAGGGCCCCTGCTCACTCTGGGGGTCACCCCACCCAGGAAGAGTGGGGCAGGGGGTGAGTCTACCCTTCCCTTTCCCACCCTCAGGGCCAGGCCCTGACAGGAGCCCAGGTGACTCGCACACAAGGAGGGTTTATTGGCTAGAGAGCAAACGCAGGCAGAAGTAAAAACACCAGATAAAAAGTGAGTGTGGAGAGGTGGAGGCTGCGGCCGCTGGACTTGGCTTGAGCTGTGAGGGGTGGGAGGGGAGGATAGCACCGGAAGATGCTGCTCCGGGCCCAACACCAGCCCTGGCCAGGCTCTCCCCTCCCAGGGGCAGCGCCCAGTCCCCAGGGGCTGCCAGAGCTCTGTGTGCCTTGCTGCATTCCCCCATGCAGCTTTTGGCAATTGAAAGGCAGGGCTCTCACTGAGTGCACCTGGGGCTTCCTGAGCCCATCTGCGGCCCCACCCTGGCCTAGGTGCTGAGTGCAGCTGCTTCAGACAAACCCTCCCTCCTTAGTGAAGCCGGGAGGGTGGGGCGCTCAGGGATGCAGGCAGGGGCAGGGGCTCCAGAGCCACAGGTCAGAAGCAGGGCTGGGGGAGGGGCGGGGCCATTCAGCCTCAGGCACCCTCACAGCTAGGTGACCAGGAGCAGGGACAGAATGGGGTGAATTCTCCCCACTCTGAACAGAAGTGTCACCAACAAACAAGGTAAGTGGCAGGGCTATGCCCATCCTCTCCTGCCCAGGCCAGAATGTGGGGGGTGGGGGGACCTGCCTAGCTGAGCAGTTCCAAGTAGGTGACAGGGACTTTGCCCTTCTTGTTGCCTCTCTCGCCAATGAGCCAGTCAGGGTCCATGCCAGGCAGGCTGTAGACAGTGATGAGCTGCAGAGATGGCAGTAGAGGACGGTCATGGCCTGGCCAAGGGTGGAACTGGCCCCAGGACTAAGTGGGGACAGAGCTGCCACCTCCCCATGGCCCGTGGCATGTGCTACACTTTCAGTGGCTGGCGCTCATCTCACCTGCTCCATAGAGACCCGGCAGAGCAGGGATTGCCTCCTCAGAGCTGGAGATGCCCTCTCTAACCTGTTGGTCCCCGCTTTCCCATCAGGGCCCCTCCAGGCCCAACGTGCCTGATCCCAGCGCCCAGGCTGCTCCTCACCCCGCCCATTCCTGCCCCACCTTGTGGCACCAGGCCCACCTCATCAGCCAGCAGGGCCAGCTCACTGCTGTCGGCCGCCTCGTAGTCATAGAGCACCCGAGCTTTGCGGGTGCCACTGGCAGGAGGGGCCACCTCTTCCAGGCAGAGCGAGGCCTCCCCCGGAGGGGCCAGGCTGGCCACAGAGGGCACAACAGGCATAGTGGCCGCAGCGGTGGTGGGTGAGGTGCTGCTCAAGGGTGGGGAGGCAGGCTCTGTGGTGCCCACGAAGGTGCCTGGAAATCTGGAGAGGAGGGATACATCTTAGCAGGTGGGAGTCCCAGAAGGGACCCCAGAAGCAAACTCCCCTCCCCAGCCCCCGGAGCCCCACTCCAGTCCCAGCTACTCACATGGCACCCTGGGAGCTGGCAGCACAAAGGGAGAAGCAAAGCAAGGGAAGGGTGAGATGGCCCTACCCCCTGGTCCCTGCCATCCTCCCCACCCAGGCATACCCTAGAAACCCTCAGGGTACCCAGGGGACTCAGGTCAGTAAGGCCAGCCACTCTACCCTCATACACGTGAGGTGCCCGGGCCCAGAGTGGGTTCCGGCAGAGCCCTCCAACCCAGCTCAGTGTCAGAGGACTTGCCCAGAGGAGCTCATGCTGCCCACGGATGGGGTCTGGGAGCCAGGGGACCCCAGTGGGCTCAGCAGTGCTGGCCCCGTACCTGCCCAGCTGCTTCTGCAAGTCCAGCATGTGGCGGTAGCACTGTGCGTAGTAGGTTGTCTGAGACTTGACGAACTCATGGAGGCAGCGCAGGTGGTTCACCTGTGGGGAGGAGGCCAGAGGCTGACTTCTAACGTCCCGCCCTCAGAACGAAAAATTCCATCCCCATCCCTGTCCTCTACCAGACCTTGCTTCGGCATTCCAGGGTGCCCTGCCCCTATGCCCACACCCTCCCCGGTGGGACTTGCTCTGTGAGGGCCATTCTGGGGCAGCCCTGCTGACCCCGTGGTTCAGGCACACCGGGTGCCCGCTGAGGGTTGCGCTTCAGTGAAGGTGGGCGGGGGACTCACATGAGTGCTGCTGATTCCCTCCAGCAAGAGACGAGTCACTTCTGCTTGCCGGTCAAACTCTGTCTGGGCCACGCGGAGCTCCTGCTCGGCCTGGGCAGGGCAGGGCAGGGCAGCCGTGAGCACCCACACACCACCCACCAGCTTCCTCGCAGTCTTCCCGTGGAACCTACCTGGGAGCTGCCTGTCCCTTTTCCCCTGGGAACACAGAGAGCCTTCTAGGTCTATGCCTGACTTCATACATGGAGCCCCAACCCCAGAGAAGCTAGAGCCCCACTCAGGACCCCCACAGGCAGCTGTAGTGACAGACCCTCCCTCCATCACCCATTGGAGAAATCCAGCCAGCAAGTGCATCCTGAGGGCCTACTGTGTGCTACAGGGTACTGTGGAGAAAACATTTCCCCACAGAGGGGAAACTGAGGCCCAGGGAGGGAAAGCAGTAACCCCTCCCCAGTGGGTGTAGGGCAGAGTGAGAAACAGACCAGATCCCACAGCAGCAGGTGTGCCTGTACCCTGCCACCCCTTCTTCCCCGAGCCCAGCCCCCCAGGCCCCAACTTACCTTGTCCACCTCATCATTCCAGAGCTGTGGAGACGGCAGCAGGAGTGGCCAGCAGGAGAGGGGAGAGGAGGACAGCTGGACCCTAGAGCCTGTGCCCTGCCCCAGCTCCCAGACTCAACTTCTGCCCCCTGCCCCTCTGCCCCACCCGCCCAAACAGGAGCTGAGACTGGGCCGAGGCAGGCCTGGGAGCTGGGGGCTGGCAGTCCCAGTCCCTCTAACATGCCTCATGCAGGAAGGGAGCAGCCAGCGGGAGTCCTGCTTCTATTTCTCCTACAGTGTCAGCCCCAGACTCTGAGTGGGGTCTGAAGAGAGACCGAGTGCCCCACCCCGTCCTGACTGTTGGCTCAGGCTGGTGGGCTGGGAGGCAGGACTGTGTGACCCTGGGCCAGTCACTGAACTTTTCTGTCCTCTGGCAGAGAAAGGCAGCCTCGTGCCTGAGTCACACTGGGACTCAATGGCAAAAGAAAAACAGGGCAGTCTCCACCCTCTAGGATGTTTCTCCTTCCACTGGGCACAGGGAGGAGGCGGGAAGTGGATCCTGAAGAAGAAAGACTGTGCCCGGCCACGACCAGGAGACCCAGCGCTCCTGCCGCTTCCGGAGATCTGACCCGAGACAACAGCCCGAAATAGGGAACGCGGACCCAGGCCAGTGTGCGTGGCCCACCCATGTGGCCCCCATGCTGCTTAGGAAGTCCCCGTCCAGGAGCACTGGAAGTTGCTGTGAGAGCCAACTAGAGTTGGTGGCCTGAGGGAGTCACCCAGCCACAGAACGACGGCACGAAAGACACAAGGCAGCATGCTCACGACAGAGGTGAGGGTCTCACCCCTGGGGGCGGGAAGGAGAGAAAGTGGGCAGACAAGGTGCAGCAGTGGTGACAAGCATGAGGGAGAGGTGTGGCCTAGTCCCCAAACTACACAGGAAATACCAGACATCCCAAGAAAGCTTAAAAACCATGACATGCGAAGCCTCCACGATCCTGTCCTCCCCGACTCCCCCAGGGGCCCTGCCTGAGCCTCCTCAGGACACGACATGCCCTGCTCCAGAACCTCTGGGCCTTAGCACAGCCTCAGGCCCTCCCGCCCCCCAGGCGCTCTCCAGGCCTACACGGCAGTCCACTGCCTCCTGTCTTTAGGGGTCTGTGAACTCCAGAAAGGCACGGCCAGGCCTCCTCCTCTATCCTCAGGGCCTCCCCAGGGCCTGGCATTCAGAGACAGCAGGAGGTGGAGGGGCCCTGAGGATGGGACAGCTGCCGCCCTGAGTTCTCCACGCTACTCGGTACGGCTGGCCCTGCCGCCAGCTCCAGCGTTTTGCAGAGGGGAAGCAAGTCCAGCTCCATGGCCACAGGGCACAGGGGCCAGGCTGTGGACAGAGGTGGGGGCTGCTGCCCCTCCCCAGTGTCTCAGGACTGACCTGATCACATGGCAGTGCCCCCACCTTACCCGCTGGCCTCTAGCTCCTGTGCAGTCAGAGGCAGTGGCATGGGACTTGGGGAGAGAGGACGAGGGGTCGGGAGGGGGTGGGGTGCGCTTACCGCGGAGGCGCTGGCCGAGAGAATGTAATTACGAGGTCTAGTCTCCTGAAAGTCAGGCACCGTCTGGCGGGGAACAGAGTTCATGTGGGGAGGGGGTCACCCTGGGCCAGGGCCAGGGTCGAGGTCAGGAGGCTACCCCAGAGTCTTGCACAAGGAGATGTCAGGAGGCCTGACCCCAAGGACAGGGGGATACAAACACAACACAAACCCTCTTCTCCCGACTCCAGCCACCTGGAGATGAGGGGCCTAGGGACTTGGAGAGTCCAGACAAAGATCAAGTGGCTGTAGGCACTGGAGCCCAGGAGAGCAAATGTGGTGAGGAGACAGCCGAGGCTGCCTGAGCAAGTCACAGGCTGGGCTCTCCCCTCCCAGGGGCCACAGCCCCCTCCTCCCAAGACCAGTGGCTCAGATGCCCCAGGGTCCCACAAACACAGCCCACCCCCACCTGGGATGGCTTTTTCCATCCCAGAATCTGCACACCGCATCTCTCACTCCTGCATCAAGGGCCAGGCCCTTCCCGACAAGTGTGGACAGATGGATGCATGGGCAGACAGAGTGACAGACATCCAACATTTGCAAAAAGCTGACTCACAGGCCCCAACGCCTGGCATCCCCCCTAAACCAGAGGCCCTGCACAGTAGAGGCTCTGGCGGGGAGACCAGCTGCTTGCAAAATGCCCCAAGGACGTGGGCTGGCCACGGCACCGTGGGTCCACGGGCAAGATGGGCAGACCGGAAGCAGCACAGCGCGTGGGACAGGTATACTCACATCTCCCTCACACTGAGCCAAGTTACCCAAAGCAGGACGGAAAGGAACAAAAACAAAGAGTTAGTGAGTCCACAGCGCAGGCAGGAGCAGGCCCCCCAGGCCCTAGTGGGAGGGGACACCAGGCGGTCAGGCGGAGGGAGGCACCACAGCCTGCCCTCCTGAAGAGTCCTAACGTGTGTGTGCTTATGGGCACAGAGCTGTGGGGCTTGAGTCCTCTGGAATGCTGTTCCCCGGGCTGCCCAAGTCCTAGCTCTGGAAAGGGTGGCCTGGCCCAACCCCAGGATGCAAGGTTGTCCAGGCCCACCAGGCGAAGGAGAGGTCGTACCACTGCAATGACTAAGGAAAGGCTCCCCTGGCCTGGCTGATGGAGTGTGTTCTGGCTGAGTTACTCCAGAGACATTATCTGGCCCTGAGTGACAGGGGAGACTGTCCTGTTCAGGTGACTTAAAAGAGGTCATCCCAATAGGCACAGGTCACCCTAGCCAACCCCAAGATTGAAACAGCTATACCCCTGCCTCTGATCTAGACCCCACACACTTGAGTGACCTGAGACCCTGCACACAGTTTTCGCCAGGGGCAGTGCAGGTTCTGGGGCACACTATGGGAGGGGAACACAAGGTGTATGGACAGCTGTGACCCCAGGCTGGGCCTGGCCTCCCTCGGCTAATCACCTGGCAGCCACAGGTAGCCATCTCCCAGCAGGCCCTGGACCTGGGAGTTCCCTCTGCAAAGTGTGAGGCAGCCTTTAGGCCCTGCACCCCAAGCAACCTCTCGTGCCAGGAGGGTGTTCACCCTTGGGCCCAGCTCCTCTGATCCTGGCCTCGCCCTGGGCACATTGTCCCAGGCTACGTCCCATTGACCCAGCCAGGCTGAACAGGCCTCAGTGGGCTGGGAGTGAAGGGGGCGCCAGATGGCCCAGGCCCTATCCAATCTCATGAGGCTGCTTGATGGGGCCCCTCAGACACAGCCCTGAGCAAGTGGGCGGTCCAGCTCCCAGGTTCTCCACACCATCGTGGGGGCGCCTGAGCACAGGGACCCTGAGCCTGACGTTCAAGCAGCAAGTAGTAGAGTTAGTAAGAAGGTGTCATACCTGGGCAGAGCTGGGGACAGAGCCGAGCATCTAGGAGGGCAGGGCATGCAGGGGACTCCAGCTGCCTGGCGGGGTGACTGTGGGGTACCCTGCACCCAGCTGGGGGCACTGCTGATCCACCCACACCGTAAATGTCTCCCCGGGAACCAGAGCTCGGGGGCCACCAAGGCTCCCTTGAGGGCAGGGACAGAGAGGCTCAGCCCAGCAGCCCCCAGCCAGGCATCTCCAGCCAGGGAGAGAGGAGAGAGGTCATGCCAAACACCAGGTCCCTTCATGCCCCCACCCCTTGGCTCTAGCCAGAGCCTGGGGGCCAGGAGGCCGGTGGCAACACCTACCGTGGCTTTGGCTTCTGCAGCCTTGGCCTTCTTCAGCCTCGCTTTGCAGGCATCCAAGTCCAGACGCCGGTTTTGGAGGAGCCGCCTCTCCTTCTACAGGGCAGGGCATGGGGACAGTGAGACCCTGGGCCGCCCTGGGAGACCCAGAGCCATGCATGGCAAGATTGGTGCTGGGGACTATTGAGTCAAGACAGGGAAACTAAGGCCCAGAGATAGGAGGTCACTCAGTCCAAAGGAGCCCTCTTTGGGGAGGCCCCAGGAGTTTTCAGCCCCAGCACTGGAAGACAGCCTGTGCTCAAAGGCTCTGAGAAGAGAACGCCATGGTTACCATGAAGCGCAGTAGTCCCAGGGCCCTCACCGAGATGGTCTTCCAGTCCCCCTCCAGGAAGTTGCGCAAGGGTGTGAGGAAGCTGATGGAGGCCGTGTGGATAAAATCCCTCTCCGCAGCTCCCAGTTGCTTTTCGGCTTCTGCCACCTTGATCAGTGTCTTCCCTGAGAAAACAGAGTTGAAGGGTGAGGAAGGTCAGGCTCAGGCTGCTCTGATCTACAGGCAGCAGGAGAGGGCTCAGGAAGAGCTTGCTGAAGAGCAAGGGCCGGGGCGCTCAGCACAGAACGCTTTGCCTGGGAAGAAGAAGGAGAAACCTACACCACACCGTCAACTGGGGACTGACAAATAAACAGTGGGACAGCCAAAATATGAAACACATCGCAGCCATTATAAAGATGGGAGTTAGACTTCCAGAATGTCAGAGAAAGGAGCTCAACAAATCCCCGCCCAAAAAAAGTAACAATAAAACTGGACACCACGCCAGGTGTGGTGGCTCACACCTATCATCCTAGCACTCTGGGAGGCCGAGACAGGAGGATCACTTGAGCTCAGCAGTTCGAGACCACCCTGGGCAACATAGTGAGACCATGTCTCCTTGAAAATAAAACAAATTGAAAGAAAACTGGACACAATTGTCAAAAACATCCATTTCTGGACTCTGGAAATTGACCAAGGCAAAAAACAAATTAAAAAGCATTTAATCAAGAAAAACTGCTGGGCTGGATGCTGTGGCTCACATCTGTAATCCCAGCACTTCGGAAAACCAAGGTGGGCAGACTGCTTGAGCCCAGCTGTGCAAGACCAGCCTGGGCAACATGGCAAAACCTCATCTTTATAAAAAATAAATTAAAAAAAATAAGAAAAATGAGCAGCGCCTCAGAACCTATGGGGCACTGTCAAGTGAACCAACATATGAGTAACACGAGTCCCAGAAGAGGAGAAAATAAGGCAGAAAAAATATCTGAAGAAACAATAAGAGGCTGGGAGAGCTGGCTCATGCCTGTAATCCCAATACTTCGGGAGGCCCAGGCGGGAGGATCATTTGAACCCAGGAGTTTGAGGCTATAGTAGTAAGCTATGATTGTACCACTGCACTCCAGTCTGGGTGACAGAGCAAGATCCTGTCTTAAAAGGAAAAGAAAAAACATGGTTTGATTCATCACATACAAGAGAGCTACAATAAGATAAATTGTCTTCTCATTAGAAACAATAGAGGCCAGACAGCAGTAAGATATTACTGCTTATGATGAATTTATGATAAATTACTATTTATTCAAAGTAAAGAAAAAACTGTTCATCCAGGAATTCTATATATAGCAAAACAATCCTTCAAAAGTTAAGGCAAGGCCGGGCGCAGTGGCTTACACCTGTAATCCTAGCACTTCGGGAGGCTGAAGTGGGTGTGTCACTTGAGGTCAGGAGTTGGAGACCAGCCTGGACAACATGGTGAAACCTCATCTCTACTAAAAATACAAAAATTAGCTGGGTGTGGTGTGCATCTGCAATTCCAGCTACTTGGGAAACGGAGGCAGGAGAATTACTTGAACCCGGGAGGCAGAGGTTGCAATGAGCCAACGTCACACCACTGCACTCCAGCCTGGGCAACAAGAGCAAGACTGTCTTAAAAAAAAAAAAAAAAAAAGATATGGCCAGGTGCGGTGGCTCACACCTGTAATTCCAGCACTTTGGGAGGCTGAGGCGGGCAGATCATGAGGTCAGGAGTTCAAGATCAGCCTGACCAACTTGGTGAAACCCTGTCTCTACTGAAAATACAAAAATTAGCCAGGCATGGTGGCGAGCAGCTGTAATCCCAGCTACTCAGGAGGCTGAGGCAGGATAATCGCTTGAAACCGGGAGGTGGAAGTCACAGTGAGCCAAGATCGCACCACTGCACTCCAGCCTGGGTGACAGAAAAAAAAAAAAAAAATCCAAAGATACACTTTAAATTTAAAGACATGAATGGGCTGAAAAATGTATAACAGGTATGCAGGAACCACGAGAGAGCTAACGTGGCTATACTACTACCAGACAAAATAGACTTTAAGACAAAATTGTACTAGAGACAAAGAGTAGTACTTTATAATAAGAGAGTCAGTTCATCAGGAAGATGCACAAATATAAACATACAGACCTAAGACAGTTCCAAAATACATAAGGCAAATACTGACAAAGAGAGAAATAGACAATTCAACAGTAATAGTTGGAAACTTCAATACTCTGCTTTTTTTGATTTGAGATGGAGTCTCGCTCTGTCTCTCAGGCTGGAGTGCGGTGGCGCGCTCTCGGCTCACTGCGACCTACGCCTCCCAGGTTCAAACGATTCTCCTGCCTCAGCCTCCCGAGTAGCTGGGATTACAGGCGCGCACCAGCATGCCCAGCTAATTTTTTGTATTTTTAGTAGAGACGGGATTTCACCATGTTAGCCAGGCTGGTCTTAAACTCCTGACCTCAGGTGATCCAACCATCTTGACCTCCCAAAGTGCTGGGATTCCAGGCGTGAGCCATCATGCCCAGCCTCAATAGTCTACTCTTGATAATGAATAGGACAACAAGACAAAATCAGCAAGGACATACAAGCCTTGAACACTATTGACTGATGTGGCCTCGCTGACATCTATACAGCACTGCCTCCTCAACAGCATAATTTATCATCTTCTCGAGTCAACTTAGGACAGTCCCCAGATACACCATATACTAGGTCATGAAACAAATCTGAATAAATTTAAAAGGATTAAAACAATACAAAATATGGGGCTGGGCATGGTGGCTCACGCCTGTAATCGCAGCACTTTGGGAGGCTGAGGCAGGCAGATCACTGGAGGTCAGGAGTTTAAGACCAGCCTGGCCAACATGGTGAGACCCCCATCTCTATTAAAAATACAAAAAATATGCCGGGCGCGATGGCTCACACCTGTAATCCCAGCACTTTGGGAGGCCGAGGCAGGCAGATCACGAGGTCAGGAGATAGACTATCCTGGCTAAAACGGTGAAACCCCGTCTCCACTAAAAATACAAAAAAAAAAAAAAAAAAAAAAA